GGACTATTTAACAATAACTAACATGAACTTAAAAGCATTCAAGGTCAAATATAGGCAATAAGCAATAAAATACATTTTTTGTCCGTCTCAGTTTAGAATCATCAAGCGATGGATTTAAAACAATGTTTGTGCAGGCATATTTTCTAAAGACAATAAATGTCACAGGAAAACGCACATCTTTGTCATCTAAACTAGGGGTTCTGAAACTTTTTGGGTTCAGGGACCCCCTCATAACCCTCATGTTTATTAAATAATTTTCTTCAATTTGTCTCTTTAATGCAATGGAAATATTTGTAACATAAATACTTAATAAGACCTGTTCTTCAGTAGTGTTAATACAATTTTTAAACTTTTAAACATGGGGTATTTTTCATTCTAGACACACTTAATTAATTAACAATTTTTAAAAAATTATTTAAGCTTCCAAAAATTAGTTTTTTTTTTAAAGAAAAGTAACAATATCAAAAAACATTTCAAAACTTTACCTATTCACTTAATGCACATAATAAATGTATCGCCACTTCTTCAAATTATTACAGAAACTCTTTACATAAACTTGAACAGAATCATAACGGCAGCAATCATACCAAGTAACAGGGTTTAATTTGTAAACTGATCGATGCCGGAACACAAATAGTGGGCGGGCTGGCAGGGTGGTGTGGTGGGTCTGGGGGTCCTCCCCCAGAAAATTTTGAATAAAGTCGCTGTGATTTCCTGCATTTTGAAGTATTTTAACGTGTTGTTATACATCTACATTCTTGTAAAAAAAAATATATATATATATTATTATTTATTTATTTATTTTGTGGACCCCCAAGCACTGGCTCGCGGACCCCTGGGGGTCCGGGGACCCCAATTTGAGAACCACAGGTCTAAACACCCCATCTCTTAATTTTATTTAAATAAATGATTTTGTTTCACCAGGTTATGGACACCCTTTCCAAGCTCTCTTACACGGCACTTGCTCAACAAGGAGGATTCAAGTAAGTACTTTCAATTTTTTTAATAAAATCTATTTTTATTGAACAGAAAATATATTTAAATCCCTTTTTGGCCGCAGTTTAACTGTTTAACTCACCTCCTCCTCCACTCTTTACTGACACTGAAGCCACAAGTACAACCACAACAGGAAATGTTTAGTTTTATTAACAGAAATAGGGAAAACATTTTATCTCCAAATAATTTGTTTTACTTAAATCATTTGTTTACTAAGAGTTTATGTTTATTACTGATGTTTTTATTTAGTACCGTAAGACTTATGCAGCTTAAATGCAAAATGTCTGTTTTCTTTCTGCAAAATTTGCACAATTTAGTTATTAGGACTTATTCTCTTTCAGGCCATTTCCTATGGAGGAAAGCCTCAAAGACGAGGACATCTACAACAACCTGGCCGACCTGATTGAGTATGTATCGCGCTCCGCTCTTAGTGACGCTGCCAGAACGTGATGCAGAGCTGGTTCCCTCCTCACCACTGATCTGGACACCCACATGTTTTCGTAACAGCCTTGGCAGAGCTCTTTGTTTTTGTCAGAGGAAACATATGAGTAATTTGACACATTTTTGTTGTGCACACCACCCACATCACCATCCTGAACGGGTGCTCTTGACATTCTGATTGATGCGCATCAATAAAAAAAAATATCAAAGTACATGCGACAAAGGCAATACTTGCATTTTTATTTTTATGTTTCAAAGTATGTTTTTTATGAGACCGTTGAAGACAGACATGTTATGCTATAGTCTCCCTCTGTCCGTAAACTTTCTCTTCCAGTAGTGACTGAGTTGTGAAAGTATTTCATTTAAAACAACAGTACCTCATATGGCACATTATACACCCATTGATATACAGCAATACAGCAGATACACGTAAAAAAAAGACCTCGAGTAAACTTTCACCTTGATTTGTGACCTTGACCTGCGAGCTGGGAGGTGGTGAAAAGATTGCGCAACACTGTTTAGTGGTGGTGCAAATGCATATCAAGATTTGTTCAATTAGCTTGAGCAGTGCAGACGCTATGGGATATAAAGACAGAGTACATGTGTGTGAATGAGAAGGAGACAGGTGGACCAGTGAGGCTACAAGGAGCAGAGGTCACAAAGGTGCAGGACTTCAAGTACTTTGGGTTCACTGTTCAGGAAAATGGGGAATTAAGAGGTGAAGAAGCGAGTCCAGGCAGGATGAAGTGGATGGAGACAAAAGGTTGTCAGCAAAGTTCAAAGAAAAAGTTTACAAGACAGTGGTGAGAGCAGCTATGTTGTATGGTCTGAGACAGAGACATAGACAAAAAGACAGGAGAAAGAACTGGAAGTAGAAGAAATGAATATGATGAGGTTCTCCTTAGGAGTGACAAGGATGGATAAGATCAGGAATGAGATCATCAGAGGTACAGCACATGTTGAACAACTGGGAGCTAACGTTAGAGAGGACACACTGAGGTGGTTTGGACATGTCCAGAGGAGGGACAGTGGTATAGAAGGATGTTAGAAATGCAGCTGCCAGGAAAAAGACAAAGAGGCGATATATGGATGCAGTTAGAGAGGACATGGAGCTAGTTGGAGTGAGGACAGAGAGAGATGGAGGAGGAGGATTTGCTGTGGAGAACCCTGAAGAGGGAAAAGCAGAAAGAAGAAGATCAGACGTTATGGGCAGGGCAAGATAAAGTTTACGGGTGTACGGACAGAGACTATACCATACTGCAGTCGCCTTTCAACAGGCATAAAAAAAGTGTCCAGTGATAAGTAGTGGACAGTGTTTATTATATTGAAAAAAGATGGAAGCCTTTCAATTTTTTTCATTGATTTGACATGTACAACTCAAATTGAGGCAAATGAAAGAACTTGTGACAGTTGATGTGCACGTTTTACAGTTGTTCATTCATTGTGTGCGTGTGACAGTGAGAATGTCCCCGAGGACGAGGACGACCTGTACGCTGCAGTCTATGGGCTGCAAGAACAGTACGCAGGAGGAGAAATCTATGAAGACCTCATGAAGACGGAGCAGCATCCGACACTGGTACCACACAATGAGTCACACACACAGAATATATTTAACTGAATTCAACCTTTCAATGATTTCTATTATTGAAACTATTAAAGAGCCTACAAACACGTGGGTTACATCTTTTTTTAAATTTTTTTATTTATTTTTTTATTTTACATCATTGTTACTAGATGAAAAAGGAAAGTGTAAACTGACAGAAATTAATAATTCAAGATGTTTGTTCCCAACTTGTGGAAACACCTCATTTGTAGTTGGGGGATTGCATCATGCAACACAGGCTTTGAATCTTTGCTATCAGTATCTCAGCACCGTGCGTTGCAGGAAAGTGAGTTATATTGAGCAGCAAAACAACTCAGCAGGATGTTAACTAAATTATAAACAGATTTGAAAGTGATGAGGTTATGCAGAGTGCGATGGCATATTAGGGCCACGCTAAGAAAAAAAATACATTACGAGAAAAAAGTAACATTACGAGAATAAAGTCGTATGAGAATAAAGTCGAAATATTACAAGAATAAAGTCGTAGTATTGCGAGAATAAAGTCTTAATATTATGAGAATAAAGTCAAAATAATATGAGAATAATCTTGTAATATTACCAGAATAAAGTCGTAAGATCATCTGAACTCTGACACGAAAAAGCAGTCTTACAACTGTGGTACAATGATGAATGTTGAGTATCTTTTTAAGTTATACTTTGGTAATGGTTTTACCAATAAGTAAATACTTAATTTGTTAGCGCATCAGCATCAGAAAATTATCTGTATCATGACTTTGAAACGACTGTGCAAACGACTACTGGGATGTTTGTTTTGAAGAAAGTCTGAGCTGTTTTTCTAATTGAAAACAACTTTATTCTGGTAATCTTACGAGTTTATTCTCATAATATTATGCCTTTATTCTCGTAAATTTTGACTTTATTCTTGTAATATTATGACTATTGTCGTACGACTTTATTCTCGTAATTTTATGACTTTATTCTTGTATTCTTTGGACTTTATTATCATATTCATTCAACCTTTATTTATATTACTTGATTCTCGTAATACTACAACTTTATTCTCGTAACACTATTCATCTAACCTTTATTTAGACAGGTAAATCCCATTGAGCCTCGAGAACTCATTTACAAGAGAGACCTGATTTCAACAATGATGATGAAGAATGATGACAACAATGGACAACAGCAACAACAGTAGACAGTTATAAAAAGGCATACAGAATTTTATTTATTTTTATTTTTTTACTAATAAGATGGCCAAAAAAAAGTATCAAACTGCTTGATTATAAGATGAATGTAGAAAACTAAAAGGAACATGTCTGCATTAGTCCTTGCCAGGAACCACTATGACTTTATTCTCATAATATTATTACTTTATTCTTGTAATGCTACGACTTTATTTTGTAATGCTACGACTTTATTCTCGTAATATTTCGACTTAATTCTCGTACGACTTTATTCTAGTAATATTACAACTTTATTCTCATATTCTTTTGACTTTATTCTCATACAACTTTGTTCTCGTAATACTACAACTTTATTCTCGTAATACTACAACTTTATTCTAGTAATATTATGACTTTATTCTCATAATACTACAATTTTATTCTTGCAATATGTCAACTTTATTCTTGTATGACTATTCTAGTAACATTACGACTTTATTCTCATAATACTACAACTTTAGTCACGTAATAGTTTGACTATTTTCATACGACTTTATTCTAGTAATACTACAAATTTATTGTCGTATGACTTTATTCTTTTGATACTATGACTTTATTCTCGTAATTTCATGACATTTTTCTCATAATGTATAGTTTTTAATATTAACATGACCCTAATACTCCATCGTTGCAGAGCTTGACACAAAAAATGTTCTGTTATCAAACCAACACGTTTAGAATTTATTGTACAAAGTGACCAAACTGACACTTGCACTCAGGTTTCTACACATGAACGAGTGTATCTTGGGTAATTTTGTCATGTACAAGCAAAGCTGTTACTACTGATGCTAACTAAATATTTCTTAATATTTCAACAGATGCCAGCAGAGAAACTACAATGATCGTAGTTATTGCCTGCAGCCAAAGATGGCATTTTTGCTTAAAACTTTGGCATTAACTTATAGTCAACAATGTCTGTTAGCAAAATATGTCACAAACCACTGTATGAAAGTCGATAAAATTCTCTAAAAGTAATTAATGAATATATATTTATAATTGTTTAACTTTTGGTGTTAATCTACTTCAAGGTGGCTGCCACAACTAAGCAACTTTAGCAAACACATAAATGGCTATAATCCAGTCAGTTTTGCTGTCATAGAGCTAAAGTTAGGTGTTTTAGTAGCTAAGACTAATTCACAACATATATTCAAAGCGCTACACAGTGAGTGGCATTTTTTCTAAAAATATTGACATTACAGTTTGATGATAACCCTGCTTGTCTGTTAGCAAAATATCTCATGATTCAGTGGATGTAGTTTAGCAAAACACTCAGAAAGTTATCACTGGATTCATATCTGCTAATGATTAATTTTTGGAGTCACCCACATTCAAGATGGCTGCTGCAACTAATACACTTCAGCGAACACAAAAATGACTTTAGCTCAGTCACTTTTACAGATATTTAGCTAAAGTTTAATGTAGTAGTAGCTAAGCGTTATCCTCACATAATTTGACTCTTATTAAATCTTGTGAGATCTCATAATGTGCATTTAGAAAGTTTGCCTAAACAGCTAAACCTCTTTTCATTTTCATCAAAAGATCATCTTAGTTTAAAAGTTTGGCAGAGTGATAGCTATTCCATTAAGCAATGCTAAGCATTTATTTATTTTCTGCAGGCATTGATCATATTTTGTTCTTTTAGTTAATGTTCACAAATGATTGCAGAGTTTGTTGTCATAGGCTAAAAACAAGGCACAGGTCTAATACAGGATTTGTGAATGTTAACAAAAATATTTGTAACTTAAATCTTTTTTTTATGTCATTTTTTTTTTTTTTTACTGATCAGTAATAGAAAACAGAAAACGGCGCTCTTTGCCACGTTTGACTCTGAAATAACACAAACTGATTGGACAACTCCGACACAAATTAGCCAATCAGATTGCAGATAGATGCGGCGCTTTAAAGTCTGATGCAGGAGCTGAAAAGAAGGTAAAAAAAAAACTTCAAATCAGTCGCAAGAAGAGGTGAAAAGCAGAAAAGTGCTTCAGAAATATGGGAAAAAACCTGTAACTAAACATATCCTTTAAGAAAAAAAACATTAACAACTATTTATCTAACTTGTTCAAATTGTTTCTTTAATATAAGCTATTTAAATAGTTTAAAAACCCACATGAAATGGCAACACTTTCTACTTTATGTTTTGCCATCTGAAATATTGATGAGCGTGAAAATGTTTAGACTTTCTTGTCTGCAGATAGCCTTCAAATATGTTGTTTCTCTACCAGATGATATTATTTAAAAAGTATTTCCTTTGGCGTTTGTTTGCGGCTAGAAGCAGGCAGAGGTGGATGTGCGCAGCTGCTGTCTGTCAGAGATCAAACAGACCGAAGAGCGATACACTGAGACGCTGGAGTCCATTGAGAAGGTGCCGCTCTCGCTTCCTCTGCTCCGTTCACACGCAGTTCACGACAAATCAAGACATCTTCATGAAGCACATTTAAACAAGCTGATTGATATGATAAAGAAATAAAAATATATGTACAACGGATTTATAAATTTCCATTTGATCAGCAGGGACTGATCTCAGAGGCATTTTAGGGGCATTTGAGGGAAATTCCCAGTTAGCGATTCCCCAACTCGCCTCACTGTTATCACATTGGGGATGTGATAACAGTGAATGGTTTCTGTATGAGTGTCAAATTAATAAGAAAAAAAAAAGGCTGAATGCTTTTTTTTTTTTTATTCTTCCACTGTAGTTTCCCTCTTTTTACCACAAGATCATAAAATGTATCAGGTCCAAGCTCCACCTGCTAACTGATGTAGATCTAACGTAGAGCAGCTGGGACGCAACAGCTTTACTTCTCCACAGAACAATTCAACTATAAGAAGAGCAACTTTTATTCTCCTCATAAAGGAAGGTTTTAACTTATACACTCCTTATTTATGGGATATACTAACATCTGTAAATGGTTTTAATAGGAGTATCACAACTTATTTTAATGTATGAAGAAAACAGGAGAAAAACAATTGTCAATTAAAAAAACGTATTTATTCTGTATTATTTTCAGTATTTCCTGAATCCACTGAAGAAATTCTTCTCAGCAGCTGAAATCGATAAAGTTTTTGTCAACATTCCTGTAAGTTTCATTGATGTTTCCCCTCTGTGACTTCTTCTTCTTCTTCTTCTGGCTGTTCCCTCTATGAGTCATCCTCCTCCATCTCACTCTGTCCTCTGCATCCTCTGTCCTCACTCCAACTACCTCCATGTCCTCTTTAGCTGCATCCATATATCTCCTCTTTGTCTTTTTCCTGGCAGCTGTATTTCTAACATCCTTCTACCAGTATACCCACTGTCCCTCCTCTGATCATGTCCAAACCATCTCAGTCTGGTCTCTAACTTTATCTCCCAGTTGTTCAACCTGTGCGGTACCTCTGATGATCTCATTCCTAATCTTATCCATCCTTGTCACTCCTAAGGAGAACCTCAACATCTTCATTCCCACTACTTCCACTTCTTTCTCCTGTCTTCTCGTCCATGTCTCTGTCTCCAGATCATACAACATAGCTGCTCTCACAACTGTCTTGTAAACTTTTCCTTTGACCTTTGCTGACACCTTTTTGTCTCTGTCTGCTCCACCCTGCCTGGACTCTCTTCTTCACCTCTTTACCACACCCCCTCCTGGACAGTGGACCCCAAGTCCTTGAAGTCCTGCACCTTTGTGACCTCTGCTCCTTGTAGCCTCACTGTTCCATCAGCCTCCCTCTCATACACACGTACTCTGTCTTACTACGGCTGACTTTCATTCCTCCACTTTTACCTCCACCTCTCCAAGTTCTCTTCCACCTGTTCCCCATTCCCAGGTGCATGATCATGAAATCCACCTGTTCAGATGCTCAGAAGTTTCTTCTTCCACGCAGGACCTGGTTAAAGTTCACAAGAGCCTGATGGTTGATCTGCAGGATTCCATCCTGAACAGAAACGCCTTAAATCTCTACCAGATCTTTATCAACTACAAAGAGAGGTATAAAACTGATTCATAAAAGTTTATTCAAAGAGCATAGTCTGCGCTGTTGTTTTAATAGTGCTTATTACAAAAATATAAAATATATGTATAAAGTATCTTTCCTGCTATTCTGACTTGCAGACTTCTCATTTATGGGATATACTGCAGTCAGGTGGAGATCGCCATCGCAGTCTTAGACCTCATCTGCAAGGAGAAAGAGGACGTTCGTCTAAAGCTAGACGTAAAACTTTACTTTTAAACTAAAACCTCTCACTGTTCTGCTGCTTCATATCCGTATAGTTTTTTTAAACAACTGTAGTGACCTCTTATGTACTCTGTGGTGCATTACACCTTTATTAAAATAGATAATTATTTTAATAATGTTTTTTGTTTTGATGTGAGAGAGCTATAAAGAAAGCAGCCTTTAAAAAAAAAAAAAAAAGAATATACATTTTAATTGAGATTTGAGCTAAATACCATAAATAAAATGCCTAATCTTAAAACTATTACAACATTTAACTCCAACTAAATATGAAAGAAGGATTTTAAGTCTCGATGAGGTTGTAAACTGTTCGACATGTGTGTGCTGTTATTCTCAGGAGTGCTCCAAAAGGGCCAACAATGGGAAGTTCACACTGAGGGACCTGCTGGTTGTTCCCATGCAGAGAGTTTTAAAGTACCACCTTCTTCTGCAGGTAGACGATTTGAACTCCCCTCACCGATTTAACCAGGACAGTAACAGAATCAGATAATTGAAATCAGCTTTTGTTTACTAGTCTAATGCTGTTTGTTTTTAATTATACTGTATATAACTCCAATTAATGTTTGGTTTATCATTTTGAGCCACAATGGGACAAATTCAAATTTACTAAATGGAAATATTATTTACTTATTTTTACTTTTTCTTTCTTAATTGTTTACTCAATAAATAAATAAATAAACAATGAAAGAAAGAAAGAAAGAAAGAAAGAAAGAGAAAAAAGAAAGAAAGAAAGCAGAAAGAAACTGCTATCTGCTATCTCACCACTAGAGGGCGACATCCTCCACATGTTTGATTTGTGTTCTCAGCATATCTACAAAAACATCTTTGTTAAAAAGTAATTTACTTTCTGCTCTATTTAAAAAAAAAATTGACCTTTCAGACTATAAATATTCTCATTTTATTTAAGATCACTAAGCAGAAAATAACTGACTTTATGAAAGTGTATTTTTAAACAATTGTCGATTTATGAATAGTTTTAAATCATCACCCCGATACTTGTTGAATATATAGAAGGTCGGCTTGGTGGGATCCCATCGTTACTTCTCTGGAAAGCAGACACTTAACCCCTCCCCCTCACTCCCCCTCCTCCCCATTTTACTGATCAACTGTTCGCTGCTTTTTATGAATCTGAGGTCGGATTGCAGCTGGCAGCACGGAAAAGGGCAATGCCTGGAGAGATGCTTTAAAATGTTGTAGAGGGTAAAGGCCTTCATGATAAATGGTGTTGAGTCAGGGGAGAGGGGTCTCATAACCTCCCCGAGGAGAAACTGTGTGTGGGGGAAATAAGAGATGAAAGGAAAGGGAGGTGGTGAGGAAAGTAGTTTGATTGAGCTTTTATTATGGAAGGAACACTTTTAGATGATCAAACCTCAAGCCCATGTTTAATTTAACACATTTCATAAATAACACACGATAATGTTAAAAAATGATTGTGCAAATATGAGCCATATATATGTGTGTGTTGCCTGTTTTTCTGTCTGTACAGCACTTTGGTCGACCTTGTTGCTGTTTTAAGTGCTCTATAAATAAAATGGTATGGTATGATATATATGTATGTGTATATAGATATATGTATATATGTATATATACATTCAATAATGAATTTCTGGTACTTTAATTAAAATAAGTTCAGTGGTTCCTAAGATATTTTGCTGTTAGGCAACCAGGGTGGTCTTCGGAAGTAAATGTCAAAGTTTTATACAATTGTCGTGCACACAGAGCATCACATAGAGCTTGTGTTGTGAATGACACTCAGCCATGATCGCACCAAACTGTACTTCATTATCTGTAAAAGTCAAGGTTTATTGTCATTCACGCCACATGTGGTACATGAGGTGGAACGAAATTGTGTACACAGGGTCCCAGTTACATCCAGCAATAGCAAAAAGTATAAATTGTAAAAGAAAACAGTAATAAAGATCTAAGATATGGACTAAGAAATACGCCAAACTAAAAATACGCTAAACACTTAATAGTGCAAAAACAATACGCCGAACAGCAGCACATGAACATGAGTCTGTGTGAGCAGATGAGTACGAATGAATACAGCGGCATGAAATAAATCAGCAGCATGAGATCAGCAGCACATATCAACAATCAAAGGGATGACTACGGTTTTTTAATTATTTATTTATTTTTGGATAAGTGACTGGATTATAGCCATTTTTGAGTTTTATAAAGCCGGTGGGCAGTGGCGGCAGTTTTGAATCAGGTTAATTCCAAAATGTAATTCCTTATAGATGTACATCAAGTGATTATTTCCTTCAAGTTTAATTGAAATTTGTTTAATTGTTCATGAGATGTTTTGCTAACAGACGGACAGCATTGTCTGTTAGCGCTCAGAGAACAGTTTGGGGAGTTGTTTCAGGCAGTAACGCGCCACATTTTAGTTCATTATTTGTAAATTTGGCAAAATGATAACCATTTATGTGTTTTTCAGGTGAGTTGGCCATGGCAGCCATCTTGAATTAGTTCAACTCCAACACACACATATGAACACACACAGCCACAGCCACGAGCATGATCATAATCTTCCACCTTTGCCTTAAGGCAGCAGGCACTAATAATAATTGTCCGTCAGTACAAAACATTTAAATGTAATTTTATTTCTCTGAATTGTTTTTGACCCTAGAATTTTATCAGATTTTTTGGTCAAGATATTCTATTAAATTAAATATTTTAGTTGCAGATCCATATAATTCAAAGTTATGCGGCTGATGAGTACCGGGTAATTCTTTGTATAAAAATCCCTTTTTTTTTGTGCTTTTTTACATCATAAAATCCAACAGTTTTCTAATAATTACACATGATGACTTTTTATGACTGCATTTTCTTCTAAAAGAGCCGTCTTGTTTACAAGAAAACTAAGCACCACCTGAATGAGTCGGTGCTGGCAGATACCATGAGACCGGTGCTGCGCTGCGCATGTTACTCACTAGCCTTCAGAAGAAGAGGAGCTCAGTGTCACGCAATAATCAATGAACGCTTATTATCTCAAAATGGCATCTAATCTGCTGATCAATCTGCTGTATTGAGCTACACTGGAGCGCACGCTTCTCTTTAAACACACAGTTGACTTCAGTTTAAAAGGAAATTACATTGAAGTCCTAAATGAAGAAAAACTGTTTGTATCCTTATATATTTAAATGACTGGATTAGGAGTCAAACTGCACTTCTACACTGACATCATTACACAAGTATAAACTAGAAAGTTCCTGGAGAAACTTTGACGGGGACTGCCTCGCTGCTGCCAATTGAAATCGTTGATTGGACAGTACAGTGTGTTTCGGTTCACTCTCAGCTACCACTATATCAAATTCCAACTCAGCATGGCAACAAATCAGTGCGCTATAGTCATTTTTTTCATTTAGCTAAGGCGGTCATCTTGGATTTTTGGTTTGGATTCAGTATTTAATGTGGAACATTAGCAGCTATAACCTCACAAAATTTCAGCTCTATGTGTAAAATAGCTGAGTTAAAGCCATTTAAAGGTAGCTTTGGCGGCCATCTTGAAGTTTTAGATTTAAACGCAATATTTAACGGGCCTCGCTCTCAGGTACCAACACACTAAATGCCAACTGAATAGCTCTATAAATGGCTGAATTATCATGTTTTTTCCCTTTTAGCTAAGGCGGCCATCTTGGATATTTGATTTGCATCAGGAATGTATTAACTCACTCTCAGCTACGACCAAACTAATTTTCAGCTCAATATCTCAAAGAACGACCAAGTTATAGACAATTCTGTGTTTGCTGAGGTAGCTGTGGCAGCCATCTTGATAAAAAATGGCTCCAAATGTTAATCAGTTCTAGAGTTACATCTGATGATGACTTTCTGTGCGCTTCAAACAAATCCAACTCTAGAACTGATTAACATTTGGAGCCATTTTTATTCAGGGACCTCAACACTCAGTCATGTGACCTCACAGCTGCAGTTAATGTGAGGAGTGTTCCGTCAGGTGTTGTGTATGGGAAAAATTGCGTCTTTGTTTGCAAATTACGTTGCCGTGGTATCTCGGAACGCCAATAAAAGTAATAGCACACATCACGGCGCCGAGCCAGTTGTTTTGATATAACATTTGTGGGGGCACACGTTGCGATTCAGGCCACATTAAAGTTGACGGAAGATTTAAGATATACATAAATAAAGTTAAGAAACCTAAAGTCAGGTGGATAATAAAAGGTGGCTTCCATTCCACAGTTCCTGTAGAATCTGGCAGTCCCCAACTATAGTATTTTTGTAGAACACTGAATTTATACATTTCTAGTGAAACGGCTTCTTAAATGTTTATTTTCAAAACTTTACCCTAAAAGAACTCATCTGTGTAAATGTCTGTGTGAGTTTATCAGATCTTGTTCTGCCTTTTCTCTCAAACAGGAACTAGTCAAGCACACGCACGATCCTGCTGATAAGAACAACTTGAAGATTGCTCTGGATGCCATGAAAGTAAGAGTTTCTTTGACACGCTGCGTGTCGCGATGTTAAACTGTGCGCAGCCTGTTGCAGCAGATAATGTCACTTTACAAACGCTGCCACTGTGCTGTCAGCGTGGATTTGATTATAAAATGAGTGACTTTGCTGTTTTAGCCTGTGATAAACTGACGAGTCTTTAAATCTTTATGTCATTCTGAGCTTCTATGAGCAGCCAATCTGTGCACCTGGCAACCAAGTGTGTAAGAAATAACCTAATCTCTAAATAATTTCAATTAAATGAGTGTTTAATTTGCATGTTGACATTTCACTTATTTCAACTTAAATTTCAGATTCTTTTGGGCAAAACTTGAACTCTGCTTACAAAAACAAAGCAAATCACTTTTCGATGATTTTGTTGTTACACAACAACATAACCAAAGTAAAAAATAAAAACATAGTGTAAAGGTCTAGCATTCTTTAAAGAAATGCATATAACCTGCTGCCTTTCATGCCAGGTTTTTGACTCATCTTTTGTTGGTAAATGACTGAGATGAAGCAGTTTTGGATACATTTGGGAAATCTTGCTGTGGGAGATCTCATGCAATAATGTGAGATGACTTTCAGCTACTACCACACCAAATTTGAGATCAATAAGTGTAAAACTTATTCAGATAGAGCCATTTCTGTGTTTCTATTAGTCCCTCACTACTTTGTGGTTTTTCAAAGTAAGATTGGACATGACACACAACTAGCTGATTGATGGATGAGCCGCACGATCGGCATGGAATTTTTATTTAAAATGAATTATTTAAAATTATTTAGCACCTGCTGCACCTGTGTGCAACCCACAGCTGCAGGAGAAAGTGGGCGTGGCCAAGAGCGCTGGCTGGTTGCAGAGAGCAGTCGGAGTTAGAGAGCTGATTTCATGACATTCTGTGCTCTTTTAGGCGTTTAGAGTGTAGAAATATTGTTTAGAATACTGAAAAAGTATGGGAAAGGTTTAAAACTCCTTAATATATACATATATAAAAATACTAAAATAAACTACTACATACTACTTGTACTACTATTCCTACTTGGCATTTCTTTCATTTATCGCGGGGTTTCAGAGTACGACGGACCCCCCATGATTAATGAGGGACTACTTTATTGATCTTTTGTGGCAGCTAGCTTAAATTGTTTTTAAATATAATAGTTTATAGTTTGTTATTTCTATAGTTGTTTTGTTTCATGATATATTTTGCTGACTGACAGACAGACAGACAGTAGCTACTGTATGTTTACATGCGCAAAATTCTTTGATCGGATGGAAATGTATTCGGATTAAATAATCCGAATGTATCGTTTACATGGGCACAATTCGATCATGATGAGCGTTTACCTTCAGAGGGCTTTTATTCAGAATAGAAGTATTGACATGGGCAGAGTGGTAAGCTCCCCTTAAAAAAACACAGAAGAAGAAGTTCTACTTTCGCGATGAACATAAACAAATCTGAGCGCCCAAATCGGACCCGCTACAGGTTTTAATGACGGTGGAGACGTTACAGATAATCTTGAGCTCTTTCAAAGTTTCTAGTAGAAATGTTGTGTTGCTCACCGACCAGTTTTGCTTCACTGACATATTAGCATCTAGCCAGGTGGAAATACGTGAGGTAGACATAGGTCGCACATGTGCAGTCAGATCAGTTTTCCATGATCAGAATAAAATGATGAGATTAAGTGTTTACATGCACACTGTTTGGATTATGAATCGGCATAAACCACCCCTCTCATTCGGATTACAAATTCATTCAGATCGAGCTGAATCAGCTCAAAAAAATCAGGATGGTGTGCTTACATGATGCATTTTTATTCCGAATGACCGTTTAATCCGATTACGTATGTCCATGTAAACATAGCTATTGTTTGATAAAGATTTTGCACAATCTGTTGCATTCAAAATATGTTTTGGATCAATCTTAGTTAATGTGCAAGCTTTCAAGTCAGTATCAGTAAATATATATATATATATATATTTGAGTTATAGTTTATGTTTTTTTGCAGTTTAGTTTGCTGTGGCAGCCATCTTGAATCAGGTTGGCTCCAAATCTCAATCAGTTGTCGATGTACTGTAGATCTGACTTTCTCCAAGTTTCATTGAAGTTCTTCCAGTGGTTCAAGAGGTATTTTGGTAACAGACAGGTAAATGAACACCCACTAGTTAAATAATTCATTCAACCTTTATTTAGACAGGTAGATCCTATTGAGCCTCGAGGACTCATTTACAAGAGAGACCTGATTTCAACAAAGAATGATGAAAAACAATGGACGACAACAAAAACACTAGACAGTTATAAAAAGGCATACAGATTATTATTTTTTTTAACAAATAGGATGGCTAAAACAAGAAAAGTAACAAAAAGCAGCTAGATTATAAGACGAATGTAGAAAAATAAATAAAAATAATTAACAGTTTATAACATTGACCCAAAAAATTCTAGTTATTATGTTTTAAAAAATGTCTTTACAAGACTACATTAAGTTTTATATTTATGTTTGTTTAGGAGGCAATGCCCCACTAATTAATACGACTAGCATAAAGAAGGATGTGTACAAAGCTTGTAAAGTACAAATTATTTAGTCTTCTATTAATTTTTATTACATAAAATGATTTAATCCTGCACATGGAAATTGATCTTTATTTTAAATTATATGTGTCTATGAGCTGCAGCCTCATCCAACATAAGAGCATGGCAGTTTGTTGTTGAATTATCCAAAATGATCAATCTTTTTCCTCAAGTGTGCTGCACAGGGCATGAACCTCACAAAGTATACGTTTTTGACATGTTTCACTACCTTCATATGGAAATGCTCTAACAGAATCTTTGTATTTGTGCATTTTCCAGGATCTTGCTCAATACGTCAACGAAGTGAAGAGAGATAATGAGACTCTGAGGGAGATCGACCAGTACCAGAGGTCTATAGAAAACCTGGTAAACCCAAAATATTTTTCACTGCAAGCCTCAGCAAGTGTTAGTGTGTGTGTTGTAGGAATAAAAACAGACTGGACAATCATGTTTTTTTAGTTTATGCAGTTTCACGGTAAATGTTGGAACATGTAACACCTAAACAGCATTTAAAGCAGATAGGAGTCACCTATAACTACAGATTTTACCATAGTTTGTTAATAGTGTTGTAAAAAAATACACCATACACCTCTTAAGGCAGCTACTTTTGTGCCTAATTTTATTTTATTTTTTGCAAAATTGCAAAATATAAACTGTAGCCCTTTTAGACTTTCAAACAAATACAAGTGGTCTAAATTGTAACAGGAATTTACTTTTTTAAATTTATTACTGAAAAAAAAAAAGAAATAATAGTGTATTTGCACTTTCACAACAGGTAACAATGTAGTCTACCAGAACTGCAGGCATATTTAAAGTGAAATGGAAAAAATGGGTATCTTTCATCTCAGCTTGAGATGTTTGGTATGCTGCAGGTCAGACCCCATGAAACATGAAACTCATCACTTGACTGCAAGGATCGCAAACTAGATCAGGACAAACAGAAAATACATAAAAAAAACCTGCGTATCTCCGGCCTGCTGCGAACCCTTGATCAATTGTTGGAACAACGGCAGTCATTGTAATTTATTTAGAGAAGACCTGCTGCTTTTGGGTTAAATTTGTGAACTAGCTGTCTAAAAGATGAGCACCAGAAATGTGTTGCTTCTGTACATTGTTAAAACTGTGATGGCCTGAAATAAATTGCACATACATTTGTTAAGGTTTAACATCTCTGAGCAAAACATTATAATTAACAAAGTATCCCTTGATGTCGCTCTTGCATTCTCCTCAGTTTGTTCTGCTAACTTCGCTCCGTGGTTTTCCTAATCTGTCATAAAATTCAGTTACAAAACCACAAATTTTTTGAAACTTGTCAGGACTTGTTTCCTTTTCTGTGGATATGTTTTTGACCTTTTACGGAACTTTTCTTTTTTTTACACCAATTACTTGTGTAAGCAAGGCTCTTTTAGTAAGAACAAAGTATTTCCTCTTCTTTTTTTAAATAAAAAAATGTGTATATAACTAGGCCTGTCACAATAACACATTTTGCTGTGAGATTAATTGGCTCAGAAATTATTGTGATAAATGATAATATTGTTTGAAATTTGACAATAACTAGTAATTATTGTCAAATTGAAGAAGAAATTTTTGTTTGTTTTGCGTGTAGTACCTTTTTTAACCACCGGATGGCAGTATAAGACTGTTTGAACCGAAGGATGGATAGTGAGGAAGCGAGCAGCATGTCTCTTAAAAAAATGGGAGGGAAGCGAGGTGACATGGGCTGTCTCTCCTTCCTTTCTTCGGTTCTAAAAATGGCCGACGCTTGGTGTAGATTGAGCTCTTTAGCATAGCCTTTTTCACACAAAGCTTTTAATAAAAAATCAGTAAACAAGTTCTCCGCTTCTTTTTGCAAAGATAAACAATGTTTTACACAAAGGCAGGGGTTTCAACCATAAATTTTGGAGCTTCGACAAAAAAGAGATTTTTTCCCGAGATCGGCCTGTTAGCTTAGCTCCTAGCTTAGCTTCTCAGCTTAGCTGCTTTTAACGATCCAAAAACGTGATTTTGGACGGTTAAAATAGATTTTAAAGAGAAAAGAGAAAGGGAGGGGTCGGTGAAGAACACTGGAGTCGAGACTTTTGTCATACCAGTAGAAAGAGAGAGACACAAAGAAAGGATAAAGCCGATAAATGAAAATGAGGTTGTTAATTTTCATTCATCATGCGATTAATTGATTTATTGTTTATCACAACAGGCCTACATACAATAATGTGTACAAAAAATGCATGACATGTACAAAAAAAGATAAAAGAGCTAGCATTTCTTGAAGGTATACATATTGCCTACTGCTTTTTTCCCCACTTAAATGACACAACGCATTTATTTTTATACACTCATTGAAGACAAGGACAAGGCCTTTGCTTGTTCGGGTCATTGCTTTAGTTTGCTGTATAATAGTTTGTTGATGAGCGTATTATGTGCCATCTGTGGCATTTTTGTTACAGATATTGAGCTAAAATTTCTAGAACGTCAATTTACAGTTGCAATAAATCCTTACTGCCATCTTTAATTTCCTCTGATAATCATGATGCGCTTTAAGTTTCAAATAAAGTGACTAATAAATACTTATATTTCAGAAAACCTCTGTATAACTTGATCTCCTCGGGTCGAGGGTGAGGTTCTGCCTCAAGTGGAGGAGTTCAAGTATCTCAGGGTTTTGTTCATGAGTGAGGGAAGAATGGAGTGTGATTGGTGCAGCATCTGCAGTATTGTGGACTCTGTGCCAGTTCGTTGGGATGAAGAGGGAGTTGAACTGTAAGGCAAAGCTCTCTGTTTACCGGTCAGTCCAAGTTCCTACTCTCACCTATTGTCACAAACTCTGGGTAGTGACCGAAAGAATGAGATCACAGATACAGGCAGTTAAAATAAGTTTCCTCCACAGGGTAGCTGGACTCTCCCTTAGAGATAGGGTGAGGAGTTCAGTCATCTGGGAAAGACTCAGAGTAGAACTGATGCTCCTCCACATTGAGAGAAGCCAGTTGAGGTGGTTGGGGTATCTGGTAAGGATGCCCCCCATGGCACCTCCCTAGGGAGGTGCTTCGGGCATGTCCGACAGCGAGGAGACTCTGGGGAAGACCCAGGACACGCTGGAGAGACTACGTCTCTAAGTTGGCCTTGGGAACGCCTTGGGAACAACTTGGGAACACCTTGGGAACGCCTTGGGAACGTCTTGGGGTTCGCCCAGAAGAGTTGGAAGAGGTGGCTGTGGAAAGAGATGTCTGGGCCTCCCTGTTCAAGCTACTGCCCCCGCGACCCAACTTTGGAACAAGCCGAAAATATTGTTTGGATTGGTGGATGGATCTGTATAACTTTTGAAATGACCCCTTTCTGCTTGCAGAATCAGCCACTTATCACATTTGGTCGACCAAAGGGAGATGGAGAGGTGCGCATAGTTTCCAGTGTTGACAAGAGGAAACAAGACAGGTTAGTCCACTTCAGCATTATTGTCTTGAAAGCTAAAATAGGACGTTAGGCCATAAATACCAGTATGAACTGCCTGTTTCGTGTATACATGTAACATGTAGTTAAAATGTATGCAACTTTTTCATCAATTGGCAAGTTACTTTTCTGAGTTAAGAAATAATCTTCGATATTGTCTTTCTGTTCTATAGACACATATTTTTATTTGATGTGGCAGCTGTTGTTTGCAAGCGAAGAGGAGACAACTACGAGATGAAGGACATTTTGGATCTCAACTTCTTTAAGGTCACCAACAATCCGACATCGGACAGAGAGGGCAAAAAGGTAAACGTGAAACCAACTTTACTTTTTCGTTCACTTTACCTTGCATCGCAGAATTGATCTCTGCGTACCTCAGAGTTTAACATCGACTGAATATATCCTCGAAATACACAACCGCAGAGTTCCTATTTAACATCTGCTCTGGTGCAGGTTTTACTACGAAAATAAACACATTATTCTTCCCTGTTTTGTCAGTGCTGCTTGCTCTTTCCTGGAAGACCCAGATTTGGAAAGTTATAAAGCTTCTTTTCGTCAACCCAAAGTGTTTTTACACATTCCTAGTTTTTGCCCTGAGGGAGCGGTTGCAGGCCATATTGTAGTGGAAGGGACTTGTTGATGTCTTGTTGATGGATGCCCACAGATGGTGTCTTCTCACTCTGGTGCTGATTGCTAATGTGAATCTGACAGCTCGCCAGAATGGTACGTGTTTTCTTATGAAATAGACTCTATTATCATCATCATTTACTCTATTGTGCAGTTGTGATTTGGCTCTGTGCTGGTGTGGGACATGTGCAAGACAGTGATTAGTATTTAACATGATTAGTCATTGTCTTGATGTGCTTTTTGGGAGAATGCCCATGTTTGTGTGCTTTTCACTTGCAGATAATTTTGAATTAATTGTCTGGGCTTGAATAAATAACATCTTTACCTTTTTGTTTTTCATCCCTTTCTCTAACATAATGCGTTAACAATTAACTTATTTGTATAAATCTATCATGAATTAAAGGCGTAGCGTTTCTTCAAAGAATGCATATTTCCTGCTGTCTTTCACGCCAGAGTTTCAACTAAAATCTTATGTTGATAAATGACAGTTGTGGCCAATTTGGTCAAACCTTGAAAATAATAATATGTACAATCTCATGCCACATAGCAGTATTTTGCGTATTGTTGCATGATCTGTTAGTGCTTTGAGTATATTGTATGCTGTGAAGTACGGTGAGCTAATACCACACCAGATTTTAGTTCAGTATATGTAAATTCATTGAGTTATAGCTACTTTTGTGTAGGCAAAGGTTCATTAGCTATGATGCCCATCTTAAATTGCATGACTACAAAAGTTCATAATTTGTAGATGTATATGGAATGATTACTTCCTGAGAATTTTATTAAAATCCATGCAGTGATTCACAACAAATTTTGCTAACAGACAAACAGGACTGACACCAGTAATAAAGATTTTAAGCAAAAACTTTGTACAATGTATTGTGCTCAAATTATGTTAAGGCAGACGCTAGGCTATGACCAAACCAAATTTCCGCTAGATAAATGGGAAATTGGCTACGCTGTAGCCAGTCTATCTATCTGTCTGTCTGTCTGTCTGTCTGTCTGTCTGTCATTTTAGACACACACACATTTATATGTATGTGTATACAGTATATATATACATATATATATATATATATATATATATATATACACACACACATACATATAAATATGTGTGTCTAAAATGATAGATAGATAGATAGATAGATAGATAGATAGATAGATAGATAGATAGATAGATACATACATACATACATACATACATACATACATACATACATACATACATACATGAATACATACATACATGAATACATACATACATACATACATACATACATACATACATACATACATGAATACATGGATACATGAATACATACATACATACATGAATACATGGATACATGGATGGATGAATAGATAGATAGATCCTCAACAAGGTCAGCATCTTTTGTGGGGATTTGGCTTCAAAATAAAATAATATTTGTTAATTTATAACTATAAAAGCATTTTAAGTTCTCTGAGGCAGATTAGCAGAAACCACCTCAGTGTTTTTGCAGCTTAAGTCTTTCAGTGCTCCTGGAGCTGAACTCTGGTTAAACTCCCACTGCAGCTGCTCCTCTGTTGATGTTGACAGAATCCAGCAGGCAGCACACTTTTGTTGATCTGTGAGGCTGGTGACCTCACTGGCTGCAAAACCGAAGAAGATTGTTGACGACATTATGTCAGGAGAGCAGAGGCTTTTGAAGCAGTTTTGCCTACCTTGTCATTAGTGCAGCTTAATAACTGGCATGAAAAAAAAAAACCTTTAGGATTAGCTCTGAGTGAGCGACTTAGAGTAGTGTTTTTTTTTTTTTAATCTCACCATTATTACTAATTTCACATTATTCTTTGTTTATCCCCTTGACATTTCAGTCAGCATTTTGGTAGAACACATTTGGAGTCCCTATATCTTACTGAAGCACGCACTGAACTAAACTAAATCTAACCTTACAAAAATAAAAAATGAAAAAATAAAAGTTTGAGGTTGTTTGAATAAAAAATATAAATATAGAATATTATTGCACCACATGATGAAGCTAGAA